GTGACAAAAAAATCTTAATTCAATGAGCCAATTTAAGTTTGTGCAATTATAAACACTTAATTATAAACTTCTTAAGTTTGTATAGTTCCAATTTTTTTGAATTGGGACTTTGAATTTAATTTTCCATTAAAGATTTCTATTAGCATTGTAAAACAAAAGAATTTAATTATAATTTTTTAAATTGAATGAATATAATTAAAAATTTTAAATAGTATAAGAATTCATATTTAATTTAACCTTGTAATTTTGTATACCAAGGGTTTCTTTTTCTTTTTCTTTTGTTACTCTTTAGAGTATTTAGTATGGAACTTATTGTGATAATAAATCATTCACCTTTGTTTTTTATTCGAGTTAATTTCATTTTTTATTTTTTTTTGCCGATGAGTAATCTCTACTCAATCACCTCTCATCTCCTTGCCTTCCGAATATAGTCCTAAAGGTACCCCTATATTAATCTGAAGGTTGAGCGAAGTTAATTTCCTACCAAAATTTAAAGCGTAAGAATTTCGTCCCTGGAAATTAATTTTCATTTTCAAGGTATACACATTTGATATTGTTGTAATTTTGGGAATACTTTTCACAAACAATAACAAGCAAAGCATAACAAGAAAGATTAAAGAAAGCATAAAGAGAGAAGACACCAGTATTTTACAGGTTCAGAAACTCAGTATTAGTGAGTTTCCTACGTCCTGGGGCTTAAAGAGGGTTAAACGCCCTCTGATATCACATTTTATTCAAAAAGCAAGAATCACATGTATAGAGTTATGGCATATAGATACATCGATAAAGAACTAAGCATGTGGAGAAACTCTTTTAGACAACAAATCAACAAGAACAGAAAACTTGAACAACAGACATCAAGATTCACATATAAGCTAAGAAATATAAAATCAGAGCCCATGAAAATGGAGTAGATTTCACCAATCTTCACAAGACAACATAGGAAGCGTTGTTCCTCTCACTGGACCTCCAAGCTAACCACCACGAGCTTCATCGGTCCTCCTTGCAGATTAGCCTCTTCACCGTTTGAACACCAATCGAAAATGTGCACCGATCAAAAGAATCACCTTGTTGAGATGAACAAGGTTCTCCACAACAGCAAACAAAGTTATGCACTCTATAAGCCATATTTTAGCAAAGACTCTCTCTCACAAATCCTAATCGAAAGAAATTTCAAGAAAATATCAAAGAAAAGAGAAATACCAGATTTTTCATGTATCAGTCAAATGCCACGATGCTGTATTCAATTAAGTCACCAAAGGTTATTAAACCTTCACATTGATTCAATTAGTTGCTTAAAACACACAATGGCAGGTAAAAGGGCCTTACAATACTAATAATGGTAATTAGCCCAATAAAGATAAAAACTCAATACTTTAGAGAAATACATACAACAGATATATTCGTAACTAATAATGGTAATGTAAATAAGTAAAAGTTTGCTTTCAAAAACTTGTTTATTGCCAGCGTATAACGTACACAGATGCGTCCAAAAAAGTGAAATAAATTGTGATATTTTGCCTTCTAACTAGAAAAGTTAGGTGTTGCAATTTTCTCTTTGCAATCTGATTTTTCAAGATTATTTATAATCAGAGATATTCAAAGTTGAGTCAACTCATTAACCTACTCCTAACTCCCTTTCTAGTTATTTATAATCAGAGCGCAGACTAGTTGAGTCAACTCATTAACCTACTCCTAACTCGGGATATTCAAAGTTGGATGAGATAGCAATTTTGGCCTGTTAATAAAATTACCCAAGCTTAAGTTTTCACAAGATCAACATGTTAGTTTATTAGTCAGCTGAATATATAAATACATAGATATTTTTTTAAATAAAAATGATAATAATGATTTTTTTTGTTTGACTATTTTTCAACAAAATGTATGTGAAAAACAAGTGTTTACCTAGGTTTAGATATTAGATTAAATCATTGAATTTAAAAAATTAAATTAAAATAAGGCTTGATATTGGCTTATTAAACTCCAGCAACATCTAAGTTTAAAGTAGTACGAACTTGAGCTATGAAAATAGGCACAATATTTTTTTAATTTAACTTAGGTGCATGAAACCTAATTACAATCTCGTAAATTTGTTTAAGTGAAGCATTATAAAGATGTAAATGACCATGTCAAACCAGACTTTAGCCTAAAGAAATTAGGCTTGTATCAAATATTTTGAATTTAACCTAATCTGTTAACCTGGTGGAAGCTAAATATTGGTTTGGCCTGGCCTTTTTTTAAAATGCAAGGTTTGACCTGGTCTTTCAAACCTATTAGGTCTACTATAAGGGTTAGGATATTTTGACTACTAATTTTTTCTACTACCACTCTAATCACCATTGGATTAGAGAAAAAGTTGAATGAAGAGAGAGAAAAGAAAAATAACTTTTAATCCAATGGTGATTAAAGTGGTAGTGGAGTGGTAGTAGACAAAATTAGTAGTCAAAATATCCTACCTCCTACTATAAACTGTTCAATATTTTTAAAGATTTTTTCACATTTTTTGCAAAATAAAAAATATTAAAGTTTAATTAAAATTTAAAATTTAAAATTAGTGAGACTAATGATATTATTTACTCCTGCAGATCCTTCTGATTAAGCCAATGTAAATTACATGCAACAAAAACTTGAAATAGGTGATCTATTCTTCTAATGAAATAATTCATGTCATTCTTTGTATTTGATGTTAAAAAAATAAATTTAAATAACTCAACGACAATACATTTTTCTAAGAGAATTAAAAGTGGAAAAAATATTTGTCATTTTAAAGGAGAGTCATTTTAGTTAAAATTAATATTTTTATTTAATATTTAAATTAAAAAATCCCCCACTTTCTTCCACAAAGATTTCTATTTTTCTCGGAAATGGATCCTCTAATATGAAAAAACATGACATGGTCATGTGAGAAGATCACAACCATACAAAAGTAAATCAATGGTTATGATTTTGTAACTACCTATTTTAATATATTTTCTCTCTCCTCCTTTATTACCATTGATCTACCTTTGTATGGTTATGATTTCCCACATGACATGGTCATATGATTTTTCACATTAGAGGATCCAAATCCATTTTTCTTAGCATAAAACTCAGTAATTTTGATTAAAATAACACAATTCTGTATCTTTAAAAATGACAAACACTAATTGTAATATCCAAATTATAAAAGAAAAAGAAAAAGTGAAGAAGATATCTTTGAAAAAAATATATCTAAGAATAGATATATATATATATATATATATATATATATATATATATATATATATATGGGGAGAGATCATTTGATTCCAGAGTAAGACTTATAAATCTTACTCCTCATCATAGTCGTTCATTTCCGTCCATCCAACGGTTATAGTTTAAGAAATTAAATTAATTAATTATTAATTACACCATAAATGACAACCGTTGATTTTCGTTCATCAACGGCTGATATAGGGAGTAAGACTTAAAAGTCTTACTCTGGAGTCAAAAGAACCCTCCTATATATATATATATATATATATATATATATATATATATATATATATATATATATATTGGCATCTTGGAAGGCATTTTTGAAAGCATCTAAAAAACTAATAAATAAATAGCAATAATAAATAGAGAGATATATATATAATAATAATAATATAAAAGATAATAATAATAAAATAAAATATTAAATATATATGGCTTTAATATATATTTAATATGAAAAAGACTATTATAACCCTGAAATAAATTATAATTACAAAAATACATTGATTTTCTCCTCAAATCGACGTCGTTTTGAGCTCACTGTAGATAAGTTATCTACATTGACTGTAGAAAAAGCGAACCCAATATATATATATATATATATATATTGAAATATTAAAACAATAGGTATCTATATAATTAGCAGGCAGGGTAATGTGGATAAAAAGAAATGACGATGATAATTTGTTCCGGATTAATACAGCGAGCTGTACTTACTCGTAAGAGTAAAGTACTCGGAACCCATATATACTTTACCCGGATAGGCGATTGGTCATGTCAGTGAGTGTTACACGTAGTGGAGTTAGCAGTCGGTTGAGTCAGTCAGTATTCTCAGTATTGGAGTCATAAGTGGGCCTACCACGATGTCATGATAGTATCCACCACTCCCAAGATAAAGGTAACTGCTCCAAAGCTGTACCTATATATACACCAAAGAACAAGATAACAGGCAGAGAACCACGATAGAGATCCAGATTAATGTTCGTCCAGAACATTTGGCGCCGTCTGTGGGAATAGGTAAAACTAATCCTACGCATTTTCTTGAGTCATGGCAAGCAACAACCATGATGAGCAAGTAGAGGAGAATGAAGAAAACAGAAGGGAAGAGGATTCTTTTCGATCCAGTGGAGGGAGCCAATCATTAGACACCATTGGAGAAGCTTTAATGCAGTTAATGGAGGAGATAAGGAACCGGCAACATCAAGAAGGAAGAGGAAGAAGGCAATACTCAGAAGAGAGATTATTGGAGAGGAACGTGCCACATGATTGGGGGAGGTGGAGAGGTTCTGTATCTCCCTTTCCTGATTATATTCCATTATCACCTCCACCCGAGACTGGGAATAGGAGGACAGAAGTTTGAAGAGGGCAAGGATCTCAGATATCCAGAAGTCTCAGGGGGAAGGACGTGGAGTAAACCGGAGGGTAGAAGAAGAAGTTTATGAGGCAAATGTCAGAGACGCAAGAAGAGGACGTAGGCGTCAAGACAAAGATGATGAGTAACCTCGTGCGGATGCTTGGGTAGATGAGCAATGACAAGAAGGTTGTCAGTATTACGCTCGCCATAGGGGGTAGGGGCGAAGTCAGAGACGCTATAAAGAAACTGATGAGAGGAGGAGGATAGATGGAGGAAGACGGTATATTTATTACAGAGATGATTTTCCACAAGATGAGGAGGAGTACTATTATGCACCAAGAACCCGGTTCAGAGAGGAGAGTGGCAATCAGTAGAGAATTATAGTCCTCGTGGCTGTGAAGGACAGATGATGAGACAAGAAGGACCAAGCTGGAATGAGCAGACGAGAAGATTAACACAACAGATGCCGCAGGAGATTCGAGAGCTGCCTGGTGGTCAGGGTCCTTCAGGAACCTCTTTATCTTGGAGATTGAGGGCGGAGCCTATTCCGAGTTGGTTCAAACAACCGACTGATATGAAAGCTTATGATGGAAGCTCAGACCCAAAGGAGTTTGTAACCGTTTTTCGGGCAACAATGTCATTATGCGGAGAATCAGACTCTTTGTTATGTCGGACATTTCCAGTTTTCCTAAGGAAGCAGGCGTTAGAATGGTTTACAGGTCTGCCAGTCAATTCCATTGACAGTTGGGCTGATTTATCTCATCGTTTCATACAGCAGTTTGCTCATTGTGGACCCCAACCAAAAACCACACAAAATTTATGTGGAGTGAGACAAAAGCCAGGAGAAAAGGTTAGAGAATATTATGAACGGTTTCAAGCAGAAGCTAGACAAGTGAAGGGGAAGGAGAATCAGACGTATTTGCTGTTATTTACCACCGGGTTACAACCGGGCGGGTTGGCGGATACTTTAGCGAAAAAAGGACCGGCTACAAAGGAAGAGTTGATGGAAAAGATTCGGAAGTACATTGATTTGGAAGTATTCAGATCTTCTCAGAGGCAAATTGAACAAGGGTTTAGAGAGGCTACATTTAGGAGGTCGGACAAGCCCGCTGGAAGAAGACAATTTGACGAAAGGCGACCTCGGGTAGTAGGGGAAAGATTTAGAGAAACATATAAGAGAGATTTCACACCATTAAATACGTCCAGAGCCCAGATATTGAAGGAGGTAATGTCTACAGAAATGCAAAATGTTCCACGGCCTCCGCCGATTCGGTCGAGTTATGCACAAGCAGATAAAACGAAATTGTGTAAATGTTATTGAAAGGTTGATTCAATAAGGGAAACTACAAAAATATGTAAGAAGAGGAGAAGGAGATGGGTGTAAGGAAGATAAGCTCCAGCGACTAGACTGAAGTCGCAGCCCGCCTGGGGGAAGGAACAGGGAGGCTAACAGAAATCAAAAAGCAGCAAGTCAACCATCTCTGAGTCGAGTTCCAGTTGGGCATAGTTGCACTATAGCTGGGGGGCGAGCAAGAGGAGGAGAATCTGGGAATGCCCGGAAAAAGCACTTAAAGATGTGTATGGCCATTTCAGAGAAACTGTGTTTTAAAGAAGAGCGCAAGAAGACCGGCAAGCAGGTAGTGTTTGAGGATTTAGACGATGAGATACTAGACCCGGAGCATGATGATCCCTTAATGATTTCGGGATTGTTGGCAAACTATCAAGTGGATAGAATGTTAGTAGATCCAGGAAGTTCAGTGGATATTATATTTTGGGATGCTTTTAGAAGAATGAACTTAGATTATGATCAGTTGGAGCCGTGTGGAGCTGATTTATTAGCATTTACAGGAGACAAGATTAAACCTTTGGAATACATTCCATTGAGGTTAACATTGGGGACCGCCCCTACACACAAGACAGTCACTTTGTTGTTTGCGGTAGTGGATCTGGGTTCCGCGTATAATATTATCTTGGGCAGACCATTCATGAAAAAATTCAAAATCTTTTTGTCAATTGATCAGTTGGCAATGAAATTTGTAGCTAAGGATGACAAGCTGGCAACGATAAAGGCGGATCAGGTAATGGCAAGAAGTTGTTATAATATGAGTTTGAGGATTTCACACGAAAGTAAGAATGAGCGAGTAACGATAGGAGATGAGGCAAAAGAGAAGACAGAAGCACAAAAGGAAGTAGATGAAAAGAAAGAGGAGCAAGTAATGGTAGTCGGGATGGATCCCCGGGTAGAAAATAAAGTGGAGAGACTGGAGCCCGTGGGGACCATGGAAGAGGTTCAGTTAGGAGCAGGTAAGGAGCAAGTTACTAAAATGGGTTCCGAGTTGGAACCTGATGTGAGGGCTAGCGTGAAAGAATTATTGCAAAAGAATGCTGATCTTTTCGCATGGAAACCTTCTGATATGCCCGGGATGGACCCTGCGTTATCTTGTCATCGTTTGGCAATAATTCCTGGAGCGAAGCCGGTGGCCCAGAAGAAAAGGAGATTCTGTGCGGAAAGGAGGAAGGCGATTGAGGAAAAAACCAAGGAGTTGTTGGAAGCAGGGTTCATTAGAGAACTAGAGTATGCCACATGGTTAGCCAATCCCGTGTTGATTAAGAAGCCGGATGGGAGATGGAGGATGTGTACGGATTACACGGATTTGAATAAAGTTTGTCCTAAAGACCCATTTCTGTTACCCAGTATCGATCATTTGGTAGATAAGGCATCAGGATATAAAGTGTTGTCGTTCATGGATGCATATTCTGGGTACAATCAGATACCATTATGGAAAGAAGACCAGGAGAAGACAACATTTGTAACAGAAAATGATGTGTATTGTTACAATGTCATGCCGTTTGGGCTAAAGAACGCATGGGCAACTTATATGAGGATGATGAACAAAGTGTTTAAGGAACAGATGGGAAGAATGTTAGAGGTGTACATGGATGACATGATTGTGAAGTCGGAAGATGGTAGGATGCATTTAGCAGATTTGCAAGAGGTTTTTGAGCAAGTTCGGAAGCACAATATGCGTTTAAATCCGAGTAAGTGTGCTTTCGGAGTTCCGGCAGGAAAGTTTTTAGGTTTCTTGTTGACAGAAAGGGGGATAGAAGCTAACCCGGATAAGTGTAGAGCGGTGATGGAAATGAAGAGTCCAGAGAATGTTCAAGAAGTTCAGAAGTTAAACGGGCGAGTGACAACTCTGTCAAGGTTTTTGGCTAAATCTGCGCAAGTGTCTTTACCACTTTTTCAACTCTTAAAAAAGGGATCTGAATTTACATGGACTGGGGAGTGTGAAGTTGCATTTCAGCATTTCAAAAGTATGTTAGCTTCACCACCAATTCTTAGTAAGCCGGAACCAGTGGAGCTTTTATATTTGTATTTGTCCGTTTCCCAAGAAGCAGTAAGTTCAATGCTTGTCCGAGAAGGAAAGAGTGGGCAACAACAGCCCGTGTACTTTATCAGCAAAGTGTTGTAAGGAGCAGAGGTGAGGTATCAGCATGTAGAGAAAGTGGCTTTTGCATTACTGATTTCAGCACGGCGGCTTCGTCAGTATTTTCAGTGCCATCAAATAGTAGTCAGAACTAACTAGCCAATAAAGCAGATGTTACATAAGCCGGATTTAGCAGGTCGAATGGTGGTGTGGGCAGTAGAGTTATCTGAGTTTGGTATTACCTTCGAAGCACGTAAAGCAATTAGAGCACAAGCATTAGCTGATTTTATGGTAGAAATGACGCATTCTGGAGGTACTGAAGAAAATAAATGGTGGAAGTTGTTTGTCGACGGATCGTCCAATAAAAGAGGTAGTGGGGTTGGAATTATAGTCGAAAATTCAGAGGGAGTGGCAGTAGAGCATTCATTGTCGCTAGCATTCCCCACAAGTAATAATCAAGTCGAGTATGAAGCAATGATTGCCGGGTTGATTTTGGCAAAAGAGCTCGGAGCGGAATGTTTGACAGTGTATAGTGATTATCAGTTGGTGACTTCACAAATAAGTGGGGTATACCAAGCAAGAGGAGAAGTTATGATAAAGTACTTAGCAAAAGTACAAGAGTTGATGAGGGAATTTAAGGAAATTCGCGTAGAGCATATTCGGAGAAGTGATAATGTACGAGCAGACGTCTTATCAAAGTTGGCAAGTACTAAAGCCACTGGAAGTTTGAGGTCTATCATTTAGCAAAGCATTCGGGCTCCGAGTGTAGTATGGATGGTAGAAGAAGTAGATTGGAGGAGCCCAATTAAGGATTATCTGACGACTGGTAAAGAACCAAACGAAAAGATGGAGGCAAGTCGTTTGAGAAGACGAGCAGCGTGGTTTGTGATGATAGAAGGGCAATTATACAGACGGGGAGTAAAGTCACATTTGCTGAAATGTATTGCTGCGCCGAACACGGAATATGTGCTAGAAGAGATACATGAAGGAATTAACGGGCATCACCTTGGTGGGAAGTCGTTGGCAAGGAAAGCTATACGAGCAGGATATTTTTGGCCTACAATGGGAGAGGACGCTAAAAGACATGTTCAGAAGTGTGACCAATGCCAGAAGTTTTCTAATGTGTATCAAGCTCCTCCTGAAGAGTTATTTACCATTTCGTCACCTTGGCCATTCTATAAGTGGGGCTTAGATCTTCTAGGTCCTTTCCCTAGGGCAGCTGGAGGAGTTAGATATTTGATAGTGGCAGCAGATTATTTCACTAAGTGGATTGAAGCGGAACCGGTAGCGACTATTACTGCTCGGAAGGTCCAGAAGTTTTTCATTGGAAAGATAGTTTGCAGATTCGGTATTCCGACCATAATTATCACTGATAATGGGACACAGTTTATAGACAAGAAGTTCAGACAGATGGTAGCTGACTTGGGGATAAGGAACAAGTTCGCTGCAGTAGAACATCCCCAAACGAATGGGCAATTAGAGTCGGCTAACAAAATCTTGACAAATGGGCTCAAAAGGAGGGTGGAAGGGTGTAAAGGAAGTTGGGTGGAAGAGTTGGATAATGTGTTGTGGGGATATAAGACCTCCGTGCAGTCCAGCATTCAAGAAACACCATTTAAGATGACATATGGTTTTGAAGCTATGTTGCCAGTGGAAGTCAGAGAGCCAACCTGAAGAAGGAAAATGATATTAGAAGAAAGTGAAGACGGGAATGCTGAGATGATGAAAATTGATTTACAGTTGTTGGAAGAAGAACGAGAAAAGGTGGAAATGGTGGAGTTGGCATCCAAACAACGAGCAGCAATGAGGTACAATAAGTCTGTAGTCAAAAGGACGTTTCAGGAAGGAGATTTGGTGCTTAGGCGGGCAGATGTGGGTACTAAAAATGCAAGAGATGGAAAAATGGCAGCTAATTGGGAAGGTCCTTATCGAGTAACAGTTGCCACAAAGACTGGAGCTTATCAGATAGAGCACTTGGATGGGAAACCAATTCCGCGATATTGGAATGCTGCCAAGTTAAAAAGGTACTTTAGCTGAAGAAATCCAGATTTAGTTGGAAGTCAGATGGTAGATCGTAGGTCGTAGTTTTACATTGGTGATTAGGAAGTAAGTTAGTTTGTTAATGTAGTAGGAGTATTTTATGTTATTATGTGTTGCAATTACTTTTGCATTTAAGTATGGTACATCTGAGATTGTGAGTTACAATATTTCAATTCAATAAAGAAAGTTCGACTTCAATAAGTATTATTAAGAAAAAACAAAAGTCCCTTGCCGCCTTAATTGGCCTCTTGGGCAGCCGTTCAATTCCTACTCGGAAACAGGAAAACAAAAGTCCATTGCCGCCTTAATTGGCTTCTTGGGCAGCCGTTCAATTCCTACTCGGAAACGGGAAAACAAAAGTCCCTTGCCGCCTTAATTGGCCTCTTGGGCAGCCGCTCAATTCCTACTCGAAAACGGGAAAACAAAAGTCCCTTGCCGCCTTAATTGGCTTCTTGGGCAGCCGTTCAATTCTTACTCGGAAACGGGAAAACAACAGTCCCTTGTCGCCTTAATTGGCCTCTTGGGCAGCCGTTCAATTCCTACTCGGAAACGGGAAAACAACCAGTCCCTTGCCGCCTCAATTGGCCTCTTGGGCAGTCGTTCAATTCCTACTCGGAAACAGGAAAACAAAAGTCCCTTGCCGCCTTAACTGGCCTCTTGGGCAGCCGTTCAATTCCTACTCGGAAACGGTTACGAAAAGACAAAATGATGGGTAGACAACGTGACTTACATTTGAATAATGAGACAGTGTAATTGTGCCAAGATGAACAAGCAAGTACTTAAGCAAGTATTAGGATCACTTAGTTATCAAATTCAAAGGAGAACAAGAAGCAAATTAAAATACATCATCTCA